CTTTAGGAAATAAGCTAAAACACTTACCACCCCAAAAAAACAGAAACAAAAAACCTCCACCCCTAACTTGCTGCCATTGAGTAATGCTGACTCATAGCAACCCCCAGTGGGTTTCTAAGACTGAAACTGCTTATGGGATAGAAAGACCACCCTGTCTTCTGAGGTGCTGCTGGTGGTTTTGAACTGCCAGTCATGCTGATCACAGTTGAACGTGATTACTATTTTAACAACAAAATAACTGAAGGGTACAGTTTTGCAAACGTTGTTGTTTCTTTGAGTTTTTAAAATTTTGTACCCTTATGTACTTAGCTTAAAAATATAAACTGATATATGAACATATATGTAGTTGGTGATATTTTTAATAAGACTTCTAAGTCTTAATGCTTCATCTTCTATCCTTGTTCTTTATATAAAAATGGTCTCCTTCTATATTTATCCTTTTGTATTTCACTTATGCATTCCACATAATACCCTTGAAAGTCACCCATGCTGTAAAGTATTTTGTAGGTGTATCATTGTTCTTTATCATTGTGTAGTATTCCATTGAGGGAACCCTCATGGTGTGTAGTAGGTTAAGTGTTGGACAGCTAATCACAAGGGCAGCAGTGTGAAACCACTAGCCACTCTGCAAGAAAAAGAGGAGGCTTTCTACTCACTCCTGTGAGAAGTTAATCTCTTAAACTCATGGGGGCCGACTGGATGGCTGTGAGGTTTTTATTTCCTAGTGTTCCATTCGGTTTGAATACAATTTATCCATCCACCTGTTGATGGACTTTTAATATTTAGGTGTCCATCTTGTTGATATTGTGAATAATATTGCCATGTACATGGATGTGTACATATCTTTGTGTTCCTGTTCTTACATTTCTAGGATATGACCTAACTGGAAATGCTGGATTATAAAGTATTTCTGTGTCTAGCTTTTTGAGAAAGCACTGTATTATTCCCATAGGCTTTACAATATTGCAGTCCCATCCATCTGTGTATGAAGGGGCTTTAAAAAGTGCGTAGTAGAAAAATTCTGTTAGGTTTCATTTCTATTTTTCCATTAACTTTTTGAAGAGCCCCCCCCCCCTCCCATTTAATAGTTCCAGTCTTCTCACAACCTCACTTGCCTTAGTGTTCTGCTGTTTTGATCGGCATCATGTTTGCATGTGTGAGATGGTATCACATTTTGCAAGGATGTCTTTACCTGTTTGTTGTTGTTAGGTGCCACCTGGTAGGTTCCAACCCATAGTGACCTTATGCACAACAGAAAGAAATATTGCCTGCTGTATCATCCTCACAGTTATTATCTTCCTTGAGCTCATTGTTGTAGTCACTGTATCAGTCCCCCTCCTTGAGGGCCTTCGTCTTCTTTGCTGCCTCCCTACTTTACCAAACATGATGTCCTTCTCCAGAGACTGGTCTCTCCTGACTACATGTCCAACTCGCGTGAGACAAGTATTGCCATCCTTGCCTCTAAGGAGCACTCTGGCCATACTTAAGGCCTGACCCAAGCCATGGTATTTTCTTTTTAATTTCCTTTTTTTTTTACCACGGTATTTTCAATGGCCTTATATGCATGTAAAACTTGGGCATTAAAAAAATAATAACTTGGGCATTGGATAAAGAAGACTGAAGAAGAGTTATTGCATTTGAACTGTGGTGCTGGAGAAGAATGTGGAAAGTGCTATGGACCGCTAAAAAGCCAAACCGATCTGTTTTAAGTAAGGCCAAAGTGCTCCTTAGAGTCAACCCTGAGGAATGGTGAAGATACGATTCAGTCCTCTCCAATTTTACTTTTATTGCTTTAATTCTCAGTTCAGCTTATTTTTAGGGGAAATGCAGACACAGATGTGGGAAATAGGTATTTTTGTTTATCTTTGTCTTCTTCTTTAAGAACAGTTTTAGATTCGAATCACCAAATTGCATAATGGCACGAAAAAGTTGGCACCCAGCCCCAGCCTTTTGATATATTTCAACTGTAAAGAAAACCCAATAAAATAGACTTAAAAAAAATTGGTTTGCATTCATTCTTGTATATGTGTGTATTGTTACTTTGGTAAAAGTTTACAGAGCAAAGTAATTTTCCAGTCAAAAGTTTACACACATTGTATTTTTAAGCCTCAGATGTAATTGTCTCAATGTAATCACACTTTTTCCCACTTCCTTCTTAGGTTTTCCTATCCACTTGTCCTTTTGTCCTGCAACTTTTTGATTTAGGAGTTTTGTTCTGGGGGTAATGCTGCCCTCTTGATCTCATGTGGTTAATTATGAGCACTGTGCTCCTTAGGAGTGTTACTATTTACTTTTTCTTTTTTAACTATTTGTAGGTGTGTCTGTTTGGCTAATAGGTGACCTCTAGGACATAGCTTTTCCTTTTAAATTAAGTACTTATTTTATTTAGTTTATAGTAAAGGAGCCCCAGTAGTATAGTGGTTAAATATTTACTGCTCACTGAAAGGTCAACAGTTTGGACCACCAGCCCCTTTGTAGGAAGATGCAGTAGTTTGATTCTGTAAAAATGTACAGCCTTCTGTAAAGATTTACAGCCTAGGTAGAAAATTCTCCCTATCCTGTATCCTCACAATTTATTAAAATAGTTAATCACTTGAATAAAAAGGTTTACCGATTGAACCTACACAACAATCCTGTGATAGAAAGACCTGACAATCTGCTTCTGTAAAGATTGCATTCAAGAAAACCATACGGGATGGTTCTACTTTGTAACATGGTGTTGCTATGAGTTGAAACCATATCAATAAGCACCAACAATTCTAATAGATATGTACATGGGCTTGTCCACATGTGAGGGATTCAAAAAGCTTGTGGAAAAACCCATGTTTTAATTCAGTTTGTCCAGGAACTTTTTAAGGCCCCTTTGTAAGTTCAAAGGCTTTCTTTCTTCTTGTTTTAAAATGTCCTTTTTATTACCCCCACCAATAGTTTTATTGGCATATCATATAATTCAGTAGTTCAATCATTAGCATTATTTAATAAATCTGCAATGACAGCACTAAAATGCTAGTCATTGAAGCAATGCTTTTAAATAGATGCACAACTGATTTTTATAAAACTATTTGTGCTACCCAGAGATCTTGAACATGGGTCTTTTCCTGGTCGATCTTTTTTTATTTTATTTTTTTTCCTTTTTTTAAATTTTTTTAAAACATTTTATTAGGGGCTCATACAACTGTTATCCCAATCCATACACACATCAATTGTGTAAAGCGCATTTGT